GTTAACAATCTTTCTCCATTAAATTCTGCCTGTTTCAAGGTTTTAACTGCTTGCTTTTAAAGAACCCTTCGGTTGTGTCACAATATTTCTGAGAGGTCTTTAGGTCCTGGTCATATAGGAAGCTTTCTTTGTCTGAACACCTGCCCTAGGGAACTATGAATTTTAATTGCTCAGCAGCTGTGGATGTCGCTTCTGACTCCATTCTGAACTGTACACTAATGCTGGCATTTCAAGCTAAACAAAATAAATGGGCATTTGCTGCCACTTTTAGTCAAAATGTATTTGGATAAACTTTAACATTGCTTTTGCAAAGTGCCCTGGCATAAAAGAGACCATATAAATAGATGTTCTATCACTGGTATTTATATGGCCTCCATTACCACAGTGCCTCACAATCACTAATGAATCTTCCTGGCATTCCTGTGTGGTAGGGAAATACTATTATCCTCATTTTACAGATGGGGAAAGGAGGCACTTTTAGACTAAGGCTCAGGTCCGCAAAGGTATTTAGGCACCTAGTTTCCAGGAGATCCATGGAAGCTAGAAGCCTAAATACCATTGAGGATCTGGGTCTGAGTAACTTGACTAAAGTCACATGGGAAGTCTGTTGCAGAACTGGGAGCTGAACCCACAACTGCTCAGTACCAAGCTAGTGGCCTCAACACTAGACCATGCTTCCTCTCTATTGTTATAGGCAACGCTGGTTTCGGACCATCTCTTTGAAGGGTAGATAGGATGCAGCTGAAGAAGAACAAAGTCTAAACAGAAAGAGAGGAGTAGAGGCTGGATAGAGGGGGAAATGCCAATTGTTTCATTACTGACCCAGTGTCCGACATGCACAAAACAAATGTCATCATCTTTTCTACTCTGCAGCTTCCACCATATCTGTCATTAGTGGAGCCGCACTATGCAGCCTCTGGAGCAGCCCAGGACCTGCAAGGTGCCATAAAACCATCTCTGCCCCATTTCCTCATGGCTCCTGGAGGTATGGTACAGCGTCGGACCCCGTATATCACCTTCCATACTTGCATGCAGTTGAAGCCCAGACCCGTAGAAGAGCTCTCCATAAGCTCGAAAGCTTGTCTCTCTCACCCACAGAAGTTGGTCCAGTGAAAGATATGACCTCCCCCACCTTGTTGATCTACCTTCCCCACTGGTTAGAGTTTGTTGATCCAGGTGTGTTTGCCACATTCCAAGGGGGGGTAACTGAATGTTTACCTGAATTCCTCTACAGTTTGAATTAGATCCAGTATTCTTCTTCTTGGCTTCTTGTTCTAGCTGTTGTTTCCATACATTAAGCTGCTGTGGAGTTCATCCTGGGAGTTAGGCGATCCCTACATCACGGAGTGTTGTGAGGTTTATTAGTTAGTTTTTTGTAAAGCAACAAAAGTTCCAAGTAGTATTAATTCTATCACTACTTTGTGCTTAATACTTCATTGTTGTATTAGTCATTGAGGACAGGCATAACATTCCAGCCCAGATGAAGAAACACCTGGCATTGGGATACTTTAATATTTACAGTAGTCTAATGATTACAGGAGCAGACCATTACAAAGTGTCCACCTGCCCTGAGGGATCAGAGTGACTCTGCAGAAAAGCTGTGTCACAAATAGAACATTGTTCCTACTGGGAAGGGACTCTACAGAATGTTTTTTATTTTTTAGTAGTTCCTGCTGTGGCGTGGCATTTACTGCCTATTTTGAGTAACACCTTAAATACCTGTATGCAGTGTTGCTGTAGCCGTGCTGGTCCCAGGAGATTAGAGACAAGGTGGGAGAGGTAATATCTTTTATTGCACCAACTTCTGCCGGTGAGAGAGACGAGCTTACACAGAGCTCTTCTTCGGGTCTGGGGAACCACGCCGAGTGTCACAGCTAAATACAAGGCGGAACAGATTGTTTAGGATAAATAGTTAACATATTTCAAGGGACCATTCAAGGTGAAGTGGATGGTTAACACCACTACAGTTATAGGGGAGGAAAGGGGAGGGGAAAGGCAGCTGCGGGGGACGGGCATTGTTAGTGGGTTATAGATTGTTGTAATGAGCGTAAATCCAGTGTCTCTATTCAGCCCATGATTTTTAATGTCTAGTAAAGTTATGAAGTTTGGGGAGTTTAAATTCATAGCTTTGCTAGACACTAGAAATCATGGATTGAATGGAGACACTGGCTTTATGGCTTATTACAACAATCTACAACCCACTACCAACACCCCACCCAGCTGCCTTCTACCTCCTCCCTCCCTGCTATGACTGGAGCGGTGTTAACGGGCCACTTCACCTTGAATGGTCCCTTGAAATACGTATTAACTACTTATGCTAAACAATCTGCTCCACGTTGTATTTAGCTGTGACACTCTGAGTACGTTTCCCAGACCTGGAGAAGAGCTGTGTGTAGCTTGAAAGTTTGTCTCTCTCACCGACAGAAGTTGTTCCAATAAGATATTGGCTCACCCATGTTGTCACCTTAAATACCTTTCACTCGTACCTTGTAGGCCATGTCTATATGTACAGTGCTGTAGCAGCACAGATGCACCGATACAGCTCTAGGTGTAAATGCTCTATGCCAATGGGAGAGCTCTCTCCCGTAGCTGTAATAAAACCACCTCTGAGCAGCAGAAGCTATGTTGGCAGGAGACGCTCTCCTGCTGATAGCGTTGTGCACACGAGCACTTACGTCGGTGTAATTTATGTTGCTCAGGGAGTGATTTATTCAGCCCCCTGAGCGACACAAGTTATGCTGACATAGGCTGTAATGTAGACACAGCCTTAGACTCCAGACCAGTGTGACAAGCATGTTAGTTAGTAACTGACCAGTACCTAGCACAAACAGTAGTAACCATGTGTTATACGTTTAATAATATCTGGTTCTTATCACCCACAGATCTCAAAGTTCTTTGCAAAGATAGTATGTATTATCCCCAATTTACCAATGGGGAAACTGAGCCACAGAGCTGTAAAGTGACTTGCAAAAGATCACCCCCCAGGCCAGTTAAAGAGCCAGGACTAAAATCCAGGTCGTCCAAGTCTTGAACTAGCACTTTATCTGTTAGGCCACACTGCCTCCCTTTAGAAGAAGGGCTTAATACTCTTCACAACACGAATGAATCTCATTCATTCATTTTACCGTTGGGTAACTGAGACACACATTGGTTTTTAAGGTCAAAATTTTCCAGTGTTTACTAATTTTGGGTGGCTCAGTTAGTGTCCTGCAACTTCCCTTCCACCTGCCGTCTATATACTAACCAGCCTCACTGCTGCACAGATCACTGGTCTCTAAGGGTCTGGCTACACTGCGGTTAAAAACCCACAGCTGGCCCGTGCCAGCTGACTCCGGTTTGCAGGGCTCAGGATAAAGGACCATCGAATTGCAGTGTAGATGTTCAGACTTAGGCTTCAGCTGACCCCCGCAGCATCCTAGAGCCTGGGCCCAGTCTCCCAACTCCCCTGTAATTGAACAGTCTCTTAGCCTGAGCCCTGCAGGCCTGAGTCAGGTGGCACCGGCCAGCTGTGGGTGTCTAATTGCTGTGTAGACATACTAGTTGTGCTGGATGGAATGATTCAGCCACAGAGAGACAAAACTGACTGGTAGGTTGGGAATATATCCCGGTGGAGTGGGTGTTGGAGAGGTTCTAAACCACCCCTAAAATGCTCTCTGGCAGGTAGCAGCTCATCCCTACTATAGAGGCAAGTGGCCACCCTGAAGCTATTTTTAACAACAAATCCAGGCTTTGGGTACGTCTTCACTACCCGCCGTATCAGCGGGTAGCAATTGATTTATCCGGGATCGATATATTGCGTCTCGTTAAGACGCAATATATATCGATCCTCGAATGCGCTCACCGTCAACTCCGGAACTCCACCAGGGCGAGCGGCGGTAGCACAGTCGACGGAGGAGCCCAGGTAATTCCGTCTGGACCCCAGGTAATTCGATCCAAGATATTTCGCGTAGCTGAAGTTGCGTATCTTGGATCGATTTCCCCTCCCCCTCCTCCCCCAGTGTAGACCAGCCCTTTGTGAGGTTGGATGAAAAGGGCCTCAGTAAACTAATGGGAAGCCTTGGTCAGAAAAAGAAGAAATGTTGAGTCCATCTATATTCTTGACTACAAGGATATTTTCTCACCCTTGCTGTGTCAAGAGCTCTGTGCTTACATCAGCTGCTTGTTCCATGTACACACTCCAGTAAAAGAAAACACATGAAAGATACTAGGCCATTAGCCTGCAGTTGCTTCAAAACATGAGCTATTCCTGCCCTCTACTGGTAGTTTGCTCTATAGCTCCGTCACTCTTTTAAAAAATGTTTCCTACCGTTGCAGCTCAAAGTCGGAATTCTGAGGATTTGTGATAAACTGGGTGAATTATTTGAAGTGACACTTTTTTTTCCTGACTTTAGTCTTTCTGTCTGGTTGCATATCCACAAACAGCCTCTGGTTGCTATTACTATGTTCATTCTTATTCTCATCTGTATTACAGTGGCACCACTGAGGTCAAAGTACTTCACTGAACATACATATAGTAAGAGATAGTCGTGGCCCTGAAGAGCTTAAGTCTAAATACAACAAGACAGGCAAAAGGAGTCAGAAAAGAAGTATTAATTGCCCCCCCCCGTCCCATTCCAGATGAGGAGTGAGGCACAAAGAGACTAACTGGAGCTTGCAGTGCAAACAGCTCTGTTGGACTGGCTAGAAGCAGAAGCCAATCAAATTCAGATTTGAAATAAGGCACACATTTTTAACAGTGAGATGATTAGCCATTGGAACAGACTACCCAGGGCAGCGGTGGATTCTTCCATCTCTAGAGGTCTTCAAATCAAGATATGCTTTAGGCAAACACAAATTACTGGGGTAACTAGGTGAAATTTAATGGACTGTGCTATAAAGGAGGTCAGACTAGGCGATCTAATGCTCTCTTGTAGCCTTAAACTCCATGAATCTATATGACTTGTCCAAGGTCACACAGGGACTCTGTGACAGAACCAGGAAGTGAATCCAGATCATTTTGGTCCCAGTCCAGGGCTTTATTACGTGACAATCTTCTCTTGTTCATCATACAGAATTATGCAACACATGATTTATGGAAACATATTTTGATGCTATGGTGATGAGTGTCATAAAAATGCCTAAGAGAGATTGATGTAGATCTGTTAGTCTAGGAATTCCTTGTGAACCATGAGTGTTGCTTTGGACATTTGCTATTTGTATTTCACTAGTCATGCAGTTTGAATGGCTACCTACATCTCAGGGACTTGTTTCCGTTCCCTGATCCCACAAAAAGCTTTCAAGACCTCTGGCTTGACTATTCGTTTGAATAAATATTTACACACGTATTCACAAGGCCTTTTTTTCTCTCTTTCTGCAAACATTCCTGTGTACAAAGATTTCGCTCCCAGGAATGTTCATGGAGAGCAAACAAATGGGGTTGTGAAGACCATCAGAGTGAAGAAATGGTTATTATTCCAACCTGGTATTAGACCATGGATTGGTAAAAATACTGGTGCGCTGTCTCTAGTACAGCCTCCCTTGGTGCAGCTGTGCCAGTGAAGAATCATGGGTCCAGATTTTGATGCATCCTGGTGAAAGCGCTGTCAGTGCCACAGAGAAGGAATTGGCTTAAGCTGCAGCAGGGAAAATTTAAATTTTGTGTTAGAAAATACTTTATTACTGATTATTATTGTTTAATTGTTAATTGCTTATTTATTGTGGTAACACCTAGGAACCCCAAGGTGGATAAATGTGGGGGGATGAGGATATAAGAGGCTAGGGAGAATATGGGGGGAAGGAAAAGGGTAGGCAGAGTGAATATGGGAGACAGGGAAAGTGCTGGGGGGCAGACATGGAAGTGGGGTGTAGGGAAATGACAGAGGGAAGAAGAGAAGGAAGCATGAGAGGACATACAGAATCACACTTAAATTCTCACATCACTCCAGGAGCTGGGACTTAAGAAAAATACCAACTATTACAAGTCACATGCTAAAATCATGAGAGTTGGCAACATTGTTTCAGACTGAAACAGTTTCAATAGAATCACTTCCCCCTTGCAATTAATCAGTGGAATTAGTGATTCCAGTTTTCCAGAAGGGCTTCAAGTCTAGACAAGACCTACATTTCTAATGTTAAAAACAAGTAGGAAACAAATGTATGCAGGCATTTTTTATACATCATAGAGAAGGGGGAAAAGGTACAGTCCTGAAGTTTTTATATCCCTTTGTATGTCTCCTTACCAAAAAAGGCATATTTTTGAGGGGTGCAGGATGCCCGTGGGTTAAAAATCAGATAGTATAAACTGGGTGCATTGCCACTGAAACCAACAGAATTGCATCCCGCTGCATATTCTCAGTATGAATTTTGTCCAACAAGCTTTAGCTCTTCATGAAAATGTAGCCATTTGTCTGAATTCTCTTTATTGTTTAGAGCAGGCTGCCCATATTTCCATGGAATTATTTAAACGCAGAATTATTGGACCATGTCGCAGCTACAGAGAGAGATTTTTTTTACATAGAATCTCTGCTTTTTGTGGCAACATGATGTGATATTGAGCAAGATAATGGTCAGAAAAGAACTTTGCTCGGCTCCTAATGAGGAATTGTTGACAGTAAAATTACCCCAACATTCATCAAAAAGCCAATAAATGTCAAGCATGGGGCCTTTGATGCAGTAGCTCATATAATTCCTTCCCAAAAGCTTTTTCAGCGTCTTTTCAGAGTATGTATGCCCTGCATTTCTGCTGATTTCACTGAAAACTTTGCTGGTGAAAAAGCTATATTGCTACTGACTGGCCATGTGAACTTGGGCAAAACAATTGGCATCATTTTCCCCACCTGTAAAATGGGGACAATAGTAATTATTAGCTACCAGTACAGTCCAATCCCAATATCGCCAGCCCCAGATGTTCAAATATCAAGAGTCAGCCCCCAAAATCATGAGACTGGCTTAAAAATAACACAATTTAAAATGACTAAATTTGGGGGGTTTTTTATTTGCCTTTTGGGTTTTGAAACATTATGGTGCATGTCTCCAAGCTTTCCTCTGCAACCGTGAGGGCTAGAACCTTATTTCAAACAAACAAACTCTGAAAGCTGAAACTCTCATATAATCAACTGACTCCAGGAGCTAGAGATTTAAGAAAAAGGCCAAATATTGTGATGCTTGTGATAAAATCCCAAGTATGGGGAAAATTAGGATGTATTCTGATCTCCTACTGTTTTGCACATTTAACATCAAATGTCTGGTGCCTAGTATCCCGAGTGTGTCTGTCTAAGGGCACCTTCAACATATTTGCCCCAGCTAATATGGTGTGGCCCATAGGATGTTCTTCTTTGAGCCAAAGCGGTCATTACTATATTACAGTTTCAATGAAGCTAAGACCTATTTTTGCACCCTAGCTTGTTTGCTTACATTCTGCATTAGAGGAATATGTTTATATATCATATGTGCGCATTATATTATTTGACACTTGAGTCCATTATGGGGCTCACACACCTTCCTCTAAGGCAATGGTGCCCAAACTTTTCCTATCGTGCCCCCCCCCTTACCAGTATTGAATGTGTCTGTCCCCCCCACCGGGCTGGGACTGGGGCCTGAGAGTGGGGTCGAGCAGCCAGGGGCTGGTGGCCAAGAGCAGGGGTGAGCCCGGAGGGGAGCTGGGGGCAGAGTGGGGCTGGGTGATGCTCCCTCCTCACCCCCCCCCCCGGGGGCTGGCCCAGGCTCCACTGTGCACCTCCAGATGTTCCTCCGGGCCCTCCTAGGGGGGCACACCCCACAGTTTGGGTACCACTGCTCTAAGGCAGCTAGTCCTAGCCACTCTATGAGGCAAGATGCCTGACCTGCTGGATCAATGCGCTGACCTGGGCTGGCAATTCATATGTTACATTTTCTCTACCAGACCCAACTCCAGCTGCTGCTGTGTACTTTGTACAGTTAGCAGAAACCTTGTCCCTTCCTCTCAGAGCCACTTGTAATGATAAGCTGCATTCCTAGAAGCCCAACACACAGACATGTCACTTGTGATTGGGGTCACTTGGAACTAGGCTAATTACCTGGCAGGCTGACTGCTCCAGAGCAGGTTCTTTAACAGAAATGAATGGGGCGATGAGGGACAGACTCAGTTATTTCAGGGCAAATTCTGTCCTTGGGCAGCAGCTCGGCACAGCAGTAGGGCTTTCAATTTATCATCTGGTTTGCTGATCCTGGGCTGTAGAACTTAATTAACACATTTGCAACCATTCTGCTTTACAGTAATAGTCTGTGTGCTCATGAAATTAGATAAAGGCATTTGTGGATTAAAAAAAAAAAATGGTGCGGAAATTAGAGCTGGAAATTTAGGTCACCTTGTCAGTCCCTTTTCTGTTCTTTCACAGCTCTGCCCAATCCAGCGAGAGACATTTCCAGCAATAGGGTATGCAGCAATCCCCGGGGGGAGGCTGTTCCACAGACTTCAGCACTAGAGGGACAGATGGATGACTAATTGTGGGGATTCCCAAGTCAAACCAGGCCTATACTAATTACACAATTGCTGTATTGAGCAAAAATAGTACAAAGAAATATCTTCAGCTTAAAAAATAAGTGACTGTGATACTTCAGTAGTGCTTTTCATTTGAAGATCTCAAAGCACGTAGCACAGAATTTGTCATGCCTCATAACAGGCTTCTGAGCAGATACAGAGACACTGGACTTAAAGAGCCAGCTTTATGAAGGGTTTGATCTTGATCTTTCAGGGTGCTGATTATCCTCAACTTCCACTGAGGTTGTTGACAAAACCCAGGACATTGGAAGTTTGGACCCCAAAATAGCAAGTGAGTGGTAGAGTTTGCAAGAGAACTCAGGAGCCCTGCATCCTACTCCCTTGGTCTATCTAATAAGTAACCAACACTCCCTCGCTTAAAGGCTTAAGCCTTGATCTTGCAAAAGTGTATGTATGGATGTGCTTAACTTTACATATGACAAATAGTCCTGTTGATTTCAATGAGACTGCGTCACTGCTAAGATCGCCTAAAGTTAAGCACGCCCATACGTCTTTGCAAGACTGGGGCATTAATGGGCCTATTTCTGTGAATAAGATGGGCAGGATACAGCGCTTAAAGGCAGTAGACCTATTCACAGGAGAAAGGTGAGCAGGGTTTGACCCTTATTTAGTAAAACAACTCTGACTCGTAACTATTTAATCAGAAACAGACTTTCTTAAAAAAACCAAACCAACCCCTCAAGACAGTGTCAATAGAGCCATCTAAAAAAGTTGCTTTGCAGCTGGTAGTTAATTACATGAGGACAATTTCTAAAAATATAATTATCTACTGAAAGAGAGCGCGCACACATAAAAAACAACACTTGTGGTCTAGGATGGGCCAGGTGAACCACTTCAGTTCCACAGCCAGTTGGGGAGAGCAGAATTCTGTAAAAATCCAATACTGTACTTATTCCTAAAAGCCTGGAACAGAAGAGCCAACAGAGATTTGCTGAGTAGCTGAATAACCCCCATTAAATATAAACATAAAAAACAATTTACTGTCTCCTCAGTGCTCTCAGATGGCCATGTAGGAAGATGTACTAAGTAGAGCATCTTATTATATTGAAAAGGACATTGTCAAGGTTAGTTGCCCCCATATTTAACCCTTTCCCTCTCCTTATCTGTCTGAGCAGTCTGATGTAACCATGATGGGTTGTGCAGACCACATCAGCCCTGATAGGGTTAATGAAGGTTTGAGACCAGTTAGTCACCTGGCATCACCTGAGAGGAGGGCCAGGGTTAACAGAGTGAATCCCAGCTGGGAGAGGGCTGGGCCAGCACTATAAAGCAAGCAGCGAGAACAGGAAGGGGATGCCAGCTCCATGGCCATCCTGTCTGACTCCTTATGAGAGCTGCAGGCAATTTACATTGGCAAGTCTGACAGCAGAAATGATTTTCTTAATGAAGTATTACTGGTAACAACCAAACTGATGCAACTGGATGTAGCCATAGTAATCACATGGATCCTGATGCATGTAGAGACAGCAGGCAACGAAGAGGCGGACAAACAGGCAAAAAGTACAATTAATTCTGAATGCACTGACCTGTGAATCCCCTGAAGCAAATTGGAATTTAAACACCTAAATAAAAATGTGATAAGGAAGGAATGGCAAGCGCTGTGGGTGAACAAAACAAAGGGGAAAAGACTTGGAGAAGTATGCCCAACCGTTGAAAATGTTGATATTCTCCAAGGCTCTGAGAGGAAGAGCAAAGTGGGTCTATTTAGAATTCTAACAGGGCATTGCAGATTAAATAGTAATTTATTTCTAATTAATATGCATAAAGATGGATTATGCGTAACATGGAAGGCGCAGGAAATGATAGATCATATCCTTTGGGATTGTAAAGACTGCACCAGTGAAAGGAGGTGTTTATATAGAAAACTCAGAGGCCTTAAAATAACAACATTTTCCTTGCAAAATCTAGCAAGAATACAAGGAAAATAGGGCCCAATTTAAAAAAAAAAAAAGACTCTTCTCCAATTCTTTAAGAATACAGGGAAGGTGCGAGACTCGAAGTCACAAACAAGATACAAAATACAGAGCACGGCAGTCGTAGCCTCAGGAAGGGAAATTTAGATGCAGTAAATGTGGAGGAGAGCATTTATATGACAAGTGTAGCAAATATGGATGAAAGCACAGTGCAACCTATGGAAAGTGTACAGCAGCCAAGCAAGAGAGGTACAGAAACAATGCAGAAGCTACTAGGAGGCATCTAAGACCAAAAGGGGAAGAGGAAAGGAAACTCAGTAAGAAGAGATAAGTACACAACATAATAAATCAAAGGATATAATGAGTGCTACAGGGGGAAAAGGAGAAGACATACTATGTATGGACAAAGAGTTTTATACCATTTATGATGTAAGCAATAAACTGCACATCACAGGCAGGGATAAAAAACAGAAAATGAAAATTATGGTTAAAGCAGCAGGAAAGTACCTACATGTTAGCAACTTATCAGTAGAACAACTCCATGCTTTTTTAAGTGAAGGAAACACTGAAGTGTAAATAGAATGGTACTAAGTATTTACTGTTTACTGTCTAATACAGCGGTTCTCAACCCGCGGTCCAATTAGCACACAGCTGCAGCCCAGCTCAGCTGTGTGCTAAAGGCTGCCAATGTGCCGGGGTTGCCAGGTTCCTGGCTACCTGGTGCAGAGAGGTCTGGGCTGCCGGGCGGGGTCAGGGCTGCCGGCCTGCCCTGCTTGGTGGGACTCCGGGGTCAGGGCTGCCGGCTGGCCCCGTGAGGTTGGGGGCCCAGGGTCCGGGGAAGCCGCCCAGCTCGTGAGCTGCAGAGTCTGGGGCAGCCGTGCGACAGGGGTCTGGTGTCGGAGCAGCTGCCAGCCCCACGCAGCGGGGGTCCAGGGCTCCCAGCCCCACGAGCTTCAGGGTCCAGGTCCAGGGCAGCTGGCCTGCTGCGTGTGATGGGGTCCGGGGCTGCCAGCTGGCCCCACGAGTTCTGGGGGCCGGGGCAGCTGCGCGGTGGGGGTCGAGCAGCTGGCCGGCCCCACAGGGTAGCCAGCCGGCCCCGCAAGGGCCGGGGCTGTTGCACGGTGGGGGCCTGGGGCGGGCAGCCAGCCGGCCCGACGCAACGAGGGTCCAGGGTTGGACTCACAACATATAATAAGTTGAGAACCACTTAATAGCACATGGACAGGAACTAAATAAAAATATCCTCGGTAAAGATACTAAACCTGATATCATTTGAACACAAAGAACATGGTTCATAGGGAAAACTAGATTTTAGAATACCAGGATATGGCATCTATAGGCAAGAAAGAGAAGTTGGAAGGGGTGGAGGTGTTTGTACATTCACTAAGAAAAACCTAAATTATTGTGAAATTGAGTTGAAGAAATTTAATATAGAGTATAATGTTTTCAAGATTCCAAAGCAGAATAAATCTGCATCTTTGAAACTATATAGTGTATACAAACCCTGTGGAAAACAGGAGATTTAAGGATTTGACAGACAGTTGAAGATGCCACAGGCCCATATATTATATGTGTAGACCTAAACAGCCATAACAGATTATGGGGAAGTGGAAAAAATGATAAGAATGGCAAATGTGTAGATCAATTCATTGATGAAAATAATTTAGTAATACTGAATGATGGTACACCTACTAGGTTTAATGCAGCCAATGGAAATCAATCCTGTCTAGACCTTGGAATTGTGTCAAGTGGTATAGCAAGCAAATGCATCCGGGAAGTCGATAAAGAGGAGGGAATGGGAAGAGATCACTTCCCAGTATTTATAGTTTATCAAGGTAAAGACAGTGTTGAGGATGGAGGAAGACCCCCTACTTGGAATATGAAAAAAATCAAACTGGGAGCAAATGTAACAAAAATATTAATGAACAATGTATAAGTTATAACACTGAGGAGTTTAGTAGCAATATACCTAAGGGAATTATAATGGCAGCGAAGTTAGCAATACTTAAGATATTAAGTCACCCTAAAGGTAGAAACCACGTACCATGGTGGAATGAGGAATATAAAAAAGCAATTAAAGAAAGGAACAAGGCATATAAGAAAGCAAAAAATACAATGAATACTAAGGATTTAATGAAATATAAAAGAAAGGTAATTATGAGGGGGGGAGAAGAAAGCTGGAGAAAGTACGATGGGAAAATAAATAAAGATACCAAAACATCAGGGAGATTCGGAAAATGAATAGAATATGGACTAAGGGCAATTCTGTACCAGGCCTCATTGTAGAAGGCCAAGGGACAAAAAGCTCGAACAAAGAAAAAGCAGAAGCCCTAGCAGAAATATTCCACAATGTTAGTCATGATGAAGATCAGATATAGAAATCTGTGTGATCGGGAAAAATGATTAAAGAGAATCACGAGAACGGGAAGAGGTGGGAGGGAGATGAGAATACAATATTAAACAAAAACTTCTGTATGAGGGAACTTCAAAAAGCTATCGGTAAAAGCAATACCTCTGCACCAGGCATGGAAGGTGTATGGAACAAAATGCTAATACACCTGGATGAAGAAAGTCTGAAAATACCATTAAAACTATACAACAGTGTGTGGGGAACAGGTGAGCTACCAATAGAGATGAAACCTGTGGTTGCAGTCCCAGCATGGAAACCAGGAAAGCTGCGAAAAAGACCTGATCTGTACAGGCCAATTGCCCTTACATCATGTATGGGGAAAGCCATGGCAAAAATGAATGAACAATTAACAACATATCTAGAAAAAAAAGGACTGATAGACAATGCGAAAACTGGGTTCAGGAGGGGAAGGAGTACAGTTGATCACATACTAAGAGTAGAGATGGAGGCACAAAAAAGTCTGAGAAAAAGAGTAAATGATGGTAGCTTTCCTAAATATTGAAAAAGCATATGACATGTTATGGAGACAGGGCTTATTGCGTACAATATCATCCATTAGCATAAAAGGAAGAATATATAGGTGGATAAAGGATTTCTTAAGTAAAAGAACTATGCAGGTCAGAGAAAGAAAAGCCTACTTTAGCATATATACACAATCATAAATAGAACAGGAGTACTTGTGGCACCTTAGAGACTAACAAATTTATTAGAGCATAAGCTTTCGTGGACTACAGCCCACTTCTTCGGATGCAG